CGAATATTTTGTCGAAGGTGGTAGGAACATATGGCATGTACGGCTTCAGGGTAGACAACCTCCATAGCAGACTTTATGCTCGGGTGGCGATCAGAAACAATTACTAAATTTTCCGGACATCCGAAAGTGGAGCGAAGCTTTTGGAGAAACCACATCCACGCACTATGACATTCCTTATCGCCGATACCAAATGCCAAAGGGAAAATTTGTTCATTTCCGTCCTTTGTAGTTGCTACAAATAAGATGCCTTTATACTTACCCTTCAAATGCGTACCGTCAATCACAATAACAGGCCGATAATAACTGAGGAAGCCTGCAGACGCGTTAAAAGAAATGAAAGCATACTCAAACACGTCATCTTTATCAGTCTCAATGTATGCCGATGTTCACGGATTTTCCTTCATCGACATATGAAAATATGCCGGCAAAAGTTCTCAGGATTTCTTATGATCTCCATAAATGAAGTCGTAGGCGGCGTTTTGAGACCTCAGAGCTGTATCATATTTTAGCTTAATGCCATGATCACGCTCCATGTCACCCATAATCTCTGCAGGCTTTAATACTCGGCCCTCTGTCAACAACTTCGGCGCGAATAATGCTCCAATGATCTTTGCAGGCAATTGTCGAGGGGTTGAATGATTTAGGTTAACTGAGCATGTATGTGGATGGATAAATTTTGAAATTTTCCAACTACCTCCAGTCAGTGCATTCGCAGAAAGCAAGAATGGGCAATTTTTATGCTTGCACACAACCTTTAACCGAGAATTTGAAGATCTTGGTGTTTGGAACTCCACTTTATGCTTCAAATGGTATAAACCCACTTTTACCAACAATTCTTCCTTACTTTCAATGACAACGCCTTTGGCTAATTCACGATATATCATTGACGGCTCTTCAGACGAAGGATGAACATCAACGTTGTGAAAATTGGCTTCGGGAATCCTCCAACCGCTACTCGAACGAGTAGCAATTTCATTCAAATCGTCCTCTTCAATAGCAACCCCTCTAGAAAGGTCAAGCCGAGGAACATTGTGGATCGCTATACTCTTCTTGTTGCGTAAAATATGCTCATTTATACCACCCATCATGTTTGAGGGCGACACAACATTGTCGTCGATATCTTCATCTTCTTCAATTATGAAGTCCGGATCATCAATGTTATCATCCATCTCATTTAGGAGATCATCATTTCAAGGATCATCACCTTCATCATCACCTTCATCATCAACTTCATCATCACCTCCATCATCAAATTCATCATCAACTTCATCATCATGACCTTCACCATCACCTTCATCATTCCCAGTTGAATACCCATTGAACCCGCTATCCACACCCCAATCGACATGTTCGAAAGAATGTCGTGAGGCACCGGGTTGATTTGATTCTACCCTTTTAGAGGTGTCAGGCACCATGTTGTCATTGTTCCCCGGATTACATGTTGATGGTTGACTCATTATAGGTGGATACACAGCACCATATGGATAGAGAGGTGGGCCCTGAGCAGCAAATAAATTCATAAACCCACCTGGATAGCCATACGAAGGGTACATTGGTACACTCGCCTGAGTATACGGACTTGGAGTATGTTTCGGCTGTAATGTGACATAGATGGTAGGTAGTGTGAACATGACAGACACATTTCGCATATCTGATTCACAAGAGATACGCCATTTCTCTACCTCTCCGTTATCACCGGCCACTAAAAAGTGAAATCAATAGTCGCACATGTTTCTATCTCCACGAACAATGTCATGAACCCTATTCATGAAAGCTTCGTATGATGACGTCCTAAGACATAAAAAATTCATTTCCGTTTCTCTATTTTTGTACACATTCCCATCCCAAAAACCACTGTGAACAATTCGCACTTTACCAACGTCCATCTGAAAAAATTAAATAAATAAAAAAAATCTTAATAAAAAATTCATAAACAGTTTCTTACGAGCAAAGTTAATTGAGCAAAAAATATGTTACATCTTGTTCAAGAAACCGTTTGATGCTCAAGAAACCAGTTTCTTGACAAGAAACGAGTTTTCTTGTCAAGAAACTGGTTTCTTGTTCAAGAAACCTGTTTGATGCTCAAGAAACGGGTTTCTTGTCAAGAAACGGGTTTTTTGTCAAGAAACGGGTTTCTTGCTCAAGAAACTGCGTGTTGAACTGGACGAAAATCTTTCTTGTCCTTTCTTGTTCAATAAACCGTTTTTTGTTCAATAAATTGTTTATTCTTCAATAAGCGATTCTTCAACTCCTAAAACTCCAAATAAACGGCTCAAGAAAATTTACAACAAAAGTAATAAACTCTAACACACGACCCCTCCTTTTCAAGCACAAAAAATCGAATTTTTTAACTATAAACAAATATTATTTCAACAAAATAAAATGGTGCAACATAAATCAATAATGTTGGGAACAAAAATATAAAAATCTATTTCGAATTTTTTTTATTTAACATAATAAAAAAAATTAG